TCAGATATAAACACATGTATAATCATATATAATATGTATCTAAAAGTAATTGTATGTATCTAAAATAATTGTTTTAGCATAATTTTAGACTTGAATATCAGAGAAAAGTTTAATTTTAGGATAAAAAAAACTGACTTGCCGTGAGATTTTTTTCTTAAGGTACCCTGTTGGTACTTTTCATACCATTGACTTCAATGAATAACATTTTTATGATACTAAGGATAAATACAACCCAAAAATATTCGTAATTAAAATTGCTTTAAGCCAATAGCCTGATGAACTGGTATTCTATTCTAATTACTGACGATAAAGTATTAAGCACTTGTTCTTTTATTGTTAATCAAGCAGTTATTATCATACTTGCAATATTACGCAGACCTAGTAAACACATGAATTGATATAACATTAACTATGTACGGAACACTACAACATATGATATGTAAATATATAGATCTCAACGAATCAAAAATTATTGTGTTTTCATTATATAAAACTTGAGATTACTATTCATATCCTTGGAACTATAATTCCTATATCATAATGAAAAGCGAAAGTTATATATCTTCGTAGTTATCTTTATGATTAAACACGATTTAGTGATGTTAGCATTGCTTCTGACTACAATAGATACCTGAACGGTTTTACACCTACAACATGCGACCATTCGTTAGGACTGCAATAATATCATTTAGATTTCTGTTCATAGTGTTAAATATTCAAACAATGTTTACTCGATCGACGAAACGTACCTGAATTTACAGAAGAAACACAAGTAACAGACTAAAAGTTATGTTTAAACAGAAAAGAGAAATAGGATACTTTAGAGAGTAGGGTAACATAAAGACAGTGCTTCTTAGTAACCAAAATCATACATCAGTCTAGTACAAATCGAAGAATCAATCGGTTTTTTTGACAAAGTTCAGAAAACCCTTCAAGTGTTAAAACAAAATTCGAACCATAAACCCAATTAAATTTTCGATTAAATTCTGTAAAATCTTTAAAATTATTTCTCGTTCACGATACTTACTATCGCCATTGACTGTTTCTGTATAAAGTGATAGTATAATGAAGAAGAGAAAAGTTGAAATGGACGAGTAAATCGTAAACTTCCTACTGGACTTCTCTTCCATTTTTATTATAGCTACATTCAAGACAACAAACGTCCCCTCCCCTCCCTACTCAGTCAGTTCTGTCACGCAAGTATGATATAATGATGACGTTATCAATCGAAATAAATGATAGCAATAAACATTATTGCGGGTTTTTAATCAAATTTGCAAAGAAATTTTAACTATTCAAACGAATTATAATCATACAAACGATGTTTTGACAAATATGAAACGATTWTGAAAGCCAGTTTCAGTGACTGCTTGAACGATTTGCTGGATTCAACACGCGGAAGACTAGACACTTTAATCCTAACTTCAAAAACACGCTAAATCCCACCAAAAATCACACCCCACTACTATCAGATAATAGTAAATAGACTAGACTACATGAAACATTCGTTAATTTGTTATGGATACGGCAGTTGCCAGGTTAAAATATGATAATTTGCAGTGCTTTAGAATCAGTCTTTCCTCTATAAACGTCAAGATGATTCCTGGTTTGACAGTGACATGTTAGACAGTTAACTCCGAAATAGGTTTAGTGCTATGACAACTGGCTGCTTATTCATAACACCCTGTTGGGCTGTGAAATTTAAAACAGAGAAAAGTACAAAAATAAGGTAGCAAAAATATGAGAGAAAAAGAAGGAACTAGAATCAAGATGATGTTGTTTTGACGTCTTTTGATGACTTCAGTGGAATATTTACGACGTAATATCAAACCAGGTGATTCATATTTACGAATGCTGCGGACGTCACGTCCTTCTAAATTTCCTCCCAAACGTTTTTTTTTCCGGGTGCTTATAAACGTCAGATTTTAGTTCCCTTGTTTTTTATTTTAAAGTTAAAAAAAACTGAATAGTAATTCTATTGTGTCGTAAAACCAACAGAATCACGTCTTTTCTATTCTGCGAATTTCTGTGAATATGAACCATTGACGAAACATGCCGTGTCGAACCGTGATTGTGACGTTGTCGTATATGAGCATTTTCATTGGCTGAGCAGTGATCTCGTGCGCTGTCATTAGTTCGTTGTCAATGCGTAACGTGGCCGTGTCGTATTCACCATTTTCCATACATCGGTCCACTGTTCAAACATGAAGTATTCAGTAGAGGCTACAAATTTGAACCCATGCTGCAGCCTCGCTTGAATACCAGTTTGTGTATGACCAGTGAACCGATGTATTGAAAACAGTGAATGTCGTGCCGCTTCAGTCATACGTAATCTATACTAATCCTACTCTAAAGAAAGCAACGTTTTGTTCGGTATCCTTTTTCTTTGTAAACGTTGTACCTTATAAATAGCTCACTGTCTTTCTCTATGTAAAGTCYGAGTTATTTCTTGAAAGCTTAAATAATAAAATTCGATGTGTTTAAGACAAAGCAGTGAGTTAGCAGACGCCGTTATGATGAAAATAGGCAYACATTATAAGCAAGTTTGCGTCACTAAATTGATGACGTATAAATCATAAATCAATTATCTGTCTATTATATATCATCATAAAAATCAATTTAACAAGGAAAAAAACAAACGACGAATGAAGTAAAATTAAAGATGAATGGGTGAATTGATGGTGTGACAATTGGACGGAAAGATGGATGGAAGGATGGATGCAAGAATGAGAAGTTGATACATCCTAAACATACAATTAAAATTAAATAGAAATTGGCTACTTACAGTTGACTGTCAGCAATGCTCTAGATGAGGTATCATTACCGACATCATTCAAAGCTTGACAGGAATAGTAGCCCTCGTCAGTACGGTTCACATTGGTAATAGTAATCTTAGCAGTTGTATTACTGACTGAGGAGGGTAGCGTTACAGATATTCTGTTGTCATTAGCGGCTATGATTGGGTGACCATCTTTCAACCACGTTACATTAGATACTGGTTTGCCTTCCAAGTAACACGTAAGGGATACACTGCTTCTCTCTACTACTGTTTTATTTGTTGGAGGAACCAATATCTTTGGAGGATCTGAAGAGAAACAAATTCTTTGATGTTTATTGAATAGAAATAAACGTTGACACCATCGTGATTAAAGAAAAGTTTAAAAGGTTTATCCCGAAGCGTAACGTATAGGACTTCTTAAGATCAAATCAAAGGTATTGTGAATAAATGTGGCGGTACACGTTTGTTAACCACTCACTGATTGACTCCCAGAAAGAAAAACACCATTAGGGTACGATTCAGTCGAAAAACTTTCATTAAAATATACACTCACAATTGACAGTCAATGCTGCAGCAGTTGAATTCTTTTCACCATAACTGTTTTTCACGTTACAGCTGTAACTACCCTCATGTGTTCTCTTCAAGCCATTGATCGTCAGATAAACAGCCGTCCTGTTGTGTGTAGTGGGTTGAGTGACGTTCATCCTACTCGTCTCTAGAGTCAATGGCTTTCCGTCTTTAAGCCAGGTTACGTTAGGAGCAGGTTTGCCTTCCACTTCACATGTAAATGTGACCGAATCTCCTTCATTCTTTGACTTGGGTCGTGGATCCACGAATATCGTTACACCATCTGCAAGTAGAATGTTGAACATGTTTAGAACCTGTTTTACACATCAAAAAGAGATGATTGCTTGTTACTTACAGTTGACTGTCAGCAATGCTCCAGATGAGGTATCATTACCGACATCATTCAAAGCTTGACAAGAATAGTAGCCCTCGTCAGTACGGCTCACATTGGTAATAGTAATCGTAGCAGTTGTATTACTGACTGAGAAGGGTGGAAACAACGATATCCTATCACCATTAGCAGCTATAATTGGGTGACCATCTTTCAACCAAGTTACACTAGATAATGGTTTGCCTTCCAAGTAACACGTCAGGGATACATTGCTTCTCTCAACTACTGTTTTACTTGTTGGAGGAACCAATATCTTTGAAGGATCTGAGAAGAAAGAAAAGTAGCTTCAAGAACTGCTGACTGGGTAAAATTTATGACTCAGTTTTATCAGTTCCTAACCCCCAGCCTATTACCCTAGATAGAAACGAATGGGAAACTGGGTACTAATCTGCTGCTTGGAGACTGCGCAAAAAATTTGGGTAGACAGAAATAGGTTACAGTATTGCGAATTGCAAACATCACTGAAGCCCAAGATTTTCCCATTGGACAACGGCTTCATAAAATGAACGCCACAGTAGCCGTGCAAGGAAAACAATGCGTCAGATAACCTAAAATATCCCTTCAAATCGATGTGCCTAGTGCGTGAGAAGTGTAAGGGAAATGTGTATATACGGTCTAAGTGGCCGGCCAGTCTCTCCCTAGTCTCCCTCGCATCCGTTTTTAGTGTCGGTCGTCACGCAACGCTCCCTCCCCACAAACGGCTGCTTGCATTCGAACTACATTCCTTTCTCATTGTTTGGATCGTACCAATGAGGTCGAGCGTATTGTTTCCTATTGAGCCAATCACAGTGTCCGAAAGTATAAACATGGTGAGTTTCAATCGAGCTGGCGAAGAACATCCTCGAAAGAAATCGGTGCGGAATATTCGCCGTTTTGGACTTCACACCGTTCTTCCTCTTCTAGTGAGCTTATCTTCACAGCACTAAATCCTAAACTACGTAACTTTGAGACTTGGTCATCCATAAGGCTTATTAGCGACCTTTATATACGACGACGAGTACGAGTACGAGTAACACTAAATCGATATCGTAGTCGATTTCCGATTTTTTACAATCTAAAGTTTCAATTTATTTCATATACGTTCAAAGA